TAATATAAATTAATAAATATTTGTTATACTAATATTTCTTGTCTAATTAGATTTCCTTTTATTAAAAAATCGTAATAAACAAATAAACAGGTAATTTATGTTAGAGTTTTATAGAAACTCTTTTAAAACCTCTTTTTATATATCAATTAATAAATAATTTTTTATATTAATAATAAATAGATAAATTGGTAATTTGTGTTTAACTTTTATAGAAACTCTTTAAATATATATTTGTTTTTGTCTAGTGTGATAAAATTTTATTAAATAGGTAATTTGTGATAGAGTTTTATAGAAATTATTTTATTTTCTTTAAATATGTCCTTTTTCTAATAAGATTTAATTTTACAAAGAAACTCATAGTAAAAGCTAATTTGTGATAGAGTTTTAGAAAAATTATCTTATTTTATATATCAATTAATAAATATTTTTAATAAAAGTTAATTTGTGGTTGAGTTTTAGAAAAATTATTTTATTTTTTATATAAATTAAAAAATATTTTTATATTAATAATTCTTGTTTAATTAGATTTTCTTTTATTAAAAAACTTATAATAAATAAATAAATAGGTAATTTGTTTTAGAGTTTAATAGAAACTCTTTTAAAAACTCTTTTTATATCAATTAATAAATATTTTTTATATTAATAATTATTGTCTAATTAGATTTCATTTTATTAAAAAATCATAATAAATAGATAAACAGGTAATTTGTGTTAGAGTTTTATAGAAACTCTTTTAAAACCTCTTTTTATATCAATTAATAAATAATTTTTTATGTCAATAATAAGTAGATAAATTAGTAATTTGTGTTAGAGTTTTATAAAAACTCTTTCAATATGTCTTTTTCTAGTGTGATAGAGTTTTGTTAAAAATAAAATAGGTAATTTGTGATAAAGTTTTATTGAAATTATTTTCTTTAAATATATCGTTGTCTAATAAAATTTAATTTTATTAAGAAACTCATAATAAAAGCTAATTTGTGGGTGAGTGTTAGAAAAATTATTTTATTTTATATATCAATTAATAAAATATTTTTATATTAATAATTCTTATCTAAGTTGATTTTATTTTATTAAAAAATTCATAATAATAAATAGATAAATAGGTTAATTTAAAATTTATTAGGTAGATTTTAGAGTTTTATAGAGTTTTTATATATATATAAAAACACTTTTTATATCAATTAATAAATAATTTTTTATATAAATAAATAAATACTTAAATACTGAAATTCTTTGCACATTTAATAATAGTATGGATAAAAACTCTAAACTCTTTGGCAGAGTTTCTATATTTTACTCTAGAATTATGAATTTTCTAGAATTCTCAATTTCTATACCCCTTATTCCTTCCTCCTTCCTCCGTGCCTCTATTTATAGGTTTATTGGATTAATATGATGATGATACGTGTCCTCTTCTGATAATAACATAATCATAACTGGGTCGACCTGGTTATATTGTAATAATTATCTATAAAAAATAACTTTTCTTTTTATATCAATTAATAAATATTTTATTGTGATTTATTTTATTAGGCAATTTTTAGAGTTTTATAGAAACTATTTTTATAAAAATTATTTTTATATCAATTAATAAATATTTTTTATATATAAATAAATAAACATTAAAATACTGAAATACTGAAACTCTTTGCAAATTTAGTAATAGTATAAATATAGATATGTAATAGATTGTCTATACATATATACATAATTATTGGTGGATTGATTTAATCTATTGTAGGTATATATACACCTTTGGCTATATATATATATATATACACCTATGTGAGTAGGTGTAGAAAAAGCTCATAAATGTGAATTACTAGTGCTTTGATTGCATGTAATAATGAGTACATGATTAATTGGGGGTAATGAATGAATTAGATATAGACTAAGGATGAAGGTAGTGGTTGGCAGTGAAATCTCAAACTGAAGGCACACTAATATGTTGGATTGGTTGGATGAAAAATTAGTCATATCAAATTAGTGCATGGCATAGGTTCACCTTGATTAAATAAATATAAATTTTTACCACGATAGAATGGACTTACGATTTAGGTCTTCAAGAGTATTAATGGTTTGAAATTTAGTAACACTTATTTTTGTTGTTACTTGTGACCACGAGGTGCCGAGTGACTCCTGGTGAGACAAAGAGATCATGGGTTGTCTTATGTAACGGTTGGTTTTGAGACTGTTACATAGTGATGGAAGTAGTGTGTCTTTACTAAAAGTGTTTTTTCTGTTGTGTGTTTGGGTGGTGGGTTTGGCGGCAAGGTGGAGAGGGAAGGATTGGGGAAGGGAATTAGAGATGGTCATGTTGTAGAGTATAGAGAGATGATATATGTTTGATCAGTATTCTGGCGTAGTGAGATATATATATATAGTGATTGTTGTATACGTGTTAGGGGTTGCTTGACTAGTGAAACTGTAAACACACGTGGCGGATTTTGGAAGGTAGACATGGTAGCCATGCAGAGGATGAAGATAGGGTGATTTTGGCTTGGTGGCATGAAAGTTGCCTATATTATAGGGTAAAGTACACTAAACCCCCCTGAACTTTCTTCTCTTTCCCTAAAAACCTCCCTGAACTTTAAGGAATACATTTAACCCCCTAGACTATTCTATTTGTTGCAAAAAATGGAAGTCTGTTAGTTGACCATTTGAAAATTAACGTTAAGTAATGTCACGTGACCCATGTGCCTTGGTAAAAATACAAAATACCATAAATAGCCTTATGACCGTTATAATCCATTATAAACGGCATTATATATATATATATATATATAGACACACACACACACACACCCCTTATATATACATTCTGCCTAAACAAACCCTAACCTTCGATTTCAACAAATCGTGTCACTGATTCGCCATTGATTCTCAACAATCCTCTCATTCACTCTCAAAGCTTCATCTCCAGGTGAATCTCTATCTCTCTCTTTCTTGTCTCTATCTTCTCTCTATCTATCTCTGTCTCTATATCTTTCTTTCTCTTTCTTGTCTCTATCTTCTCTCTATCTATCTCTGTCTCTATATCTTTCTCTCTTCTCTCTATCTATCTCGTCTCTATATATTTCTCTCTCTCTTCTCTTTATCTTTCTCTAACCACTGAACCAAAACTGTTAATTGCTTTTTATTAGTAATCTGCAGAAAAATGGCTTCATCGTCAAGGGCTTCATCATCAATAAGTCGTCGTCTATATAATAGGAAATGTTGGTGTGGGAAAAAGGCTGCAGTTTACATATCTGATTCCGAAAGTAATCCTGGGAGAATTTATTTGAAATGTTCAACTGAGACCTGCAAATTTTGGAAATGGACGACTGAATATAAAAGCCAAAATGGTCATGCAGAATTTCCACCAACACCAACTCTTTTACACGAGTCACCAACACCAATTGCTACTATGGTGGATCTGCATCTTGCAATTGCCAAGGCTCTTTTAATTGGAAGCCTTTTTTGTTGTTGTCTGTGTGTTCTGATTTTGATTTGTGCCATTGTGTACAAGTGATCTGATGTTGAATTGTGCATTTGTGTACAAATGATGGGGTAGTGATGTTTAGGTTGTTTAGGTAGTCATGTTTAGGTTTTTATCTTTGGTGGGGTTGTCAATGTGTTTATTTATGTGTAATGTATCCAGATGTTAAGTTGTGTAATGAATACGTACCTATTTTTGGGAGAACAATGCCTCATGTGTTGGTATAATTTTACATTCAACTGTTATGCATTATCAAGAATAATGTCTCATGTGTTGGTATAATTTTACATTCACCTGTTATGTATTATCAATTCAATGAAATGATATAATGTTTGCAAAACACTTTCTGTAACTACATATGACAGTGCAAATAATATGACAAATAGAAGCATATCACAGTTACTACACAGTGCAAATAATATGACAAATAAAAGCATATCACAGTTACTATACAGATTAACCAAACATATTATATTAATAGAGTATCATAACAAGTTTCATCCAAAATAAGACAGGTGAAGTCTTATTTTATCTAAACCAAAGGGACTTATTTACAGACCAAAAGAGCAAAAAAAAAAAAAAAAAAAAAAAAACATTTAAATTCATCATATGAAGGTCTTCAACAATTAACTGCAACCACTGCCCTTGTCAATTGTTTCTACTTTTCCCTTTTGACACTTTCAAGAGAACACCAAAAAAGTACTAACTGCTTCACATCCAAGCATATTCATCATTCATCATTGACCTACAAAAGTATTGTAAAATAGTTACAAATTCAAATTATTAGTTAGAAATTTAGCATTAACATGTAAAATTCACTCACCTTGATGTTGATGCCTGACTTTCAAGTAATTGAGAAAAGGAGATGTTTGTAATCTGCAATAAATTTAAAGCATTGTTAATTGTTTGCTTGAGATTGTATTTAAAAAAACAAAAAAAAAAAAACAACTAAGAAAAGCAAAAAAAGCAATTTAGTTATACCTCATGAGCTCTAGGTCCAGCAGGTATACCATCATTGTTTTGTGAAGGTCCAGCACTTGCTTTTGTACCCCTTGCACTTGTTCTTCCCTTTGCACTTGCCTTTCCACCCTTTCCAGTTGCCCTTCCACTTCTTTTAGCTATTTTAAATGCTGATGGTGGTCTTCCTCCCTTCTTTGGGGGAAGTTTCTCAACAACCACTGGTTCTACTACTTTGCAACCCCTTGCATTATGGCCATAAACTAAACATCTTGAGCACTTCAATTTTTCTTTTAACCTGCTCAGATGGGCTGAACTGCTAGACTCATCATTTTTCTTGTTTCTTTTCTTTTTTGGTCTACCAACTGGCTTCCTATAGGGTGGAGGATGGATTGGGGTTATGGGTTCTGTTATTAACAGGCTTCTCATAGGCATTGGGTTGATAATGCCACCATAAGCCTTCAAATATGTTTGTCTGTGATAGTAGGGATGCACATATATCTCTGGGATTTCCTTTCTTATAAAACAACATACCACCACATGGATGCAAGGCACCCCTAACATCTCATTGCCTACAACTGCATGTTTTCTCAGCAATGTTCACTGTATCACCAATTCCTCTACACTGCACATCATATTTCTCATACCCATCATACTTGACTGTACACATTCTTGCTTCTACTTTCCTCTTGTTCAATTCCTTCTCAATTGCTGGACATATCAACCCATTGCTTGAATTAATCCACTGCCTCTTATTTTCGAACCTCAACATCAAATGTCTTCTAATCCACTCCAACATGTACAGAATAGGCTTGTCTCTTGCAGGAAGGATGACTGCATTCCAAGACTCACACATATTGTTAAAAACCAAAGCACATTTTGACCTATTACTAAATTTGGACCTTGACCAAACCTTAGGTGGCACCTTTTTCAGCCATTCAACAGCTTCAACATTCATGTCATTGATCTTCTTCATATGCTTATCAAATTCAGCATCCGTGAATGATTGAGCTGCTTCCCATATGGCATTTTTTAGATTTTGGCCCTTATATTTCAACTTAAAATTTTCATAGAGATGTCTTACACAAAATCTATGATCAGCCCCATACAAGATATTATCAAAGGTGTCTAGCAAACCCTACAAAGAGAAAAGTTAAATTAAAATAAAACTGAAAATTTAAAGTAAAATAAAATTTTAAATTTAAAGTAAAATAAAACTAAAAATTTAAAGTAAAATAAAGTAAAGGAAGAAACAGCTAATGTGTGATACCCCTCGATTCTAGAGCCACAGGTGATCAAATCCGAGCACAGATCCGAGGGATACCAAACAATTAATACATAAACGAACACAGATTACAAAATAGATTTACGAAATAAATATTAAAGCTGGAAATAAAACTAAATTTAAAATCCTCCAAATGATAAAGATTGATAAAAATCTAAATCTCCAAAATAGATACAACTCGGGAATCCATCTAGTGGACCCCTAAAATCCAAACTGAAATAATCAGCTGAAGACAAAATCCTAATCTAGAATATAAAATGAAATCCTACATTATCGGAGGAGTGAATGTCTGTATCTGCTCTACACGTCCAAGCCCTAGTCCTGGAACTGACAACACCTGAAAAAAATAAAGGAGTGGGTCAGGCCCACATACAAGTCCTATTCTACTACGATCCAATCAGAAACCCGATACACAGATACATCCTAGATAGCTCAACAATATCTAGAGTAGTCCATATATATATAATTACACACTATAGGACGCTCACTAGTCCAAGTGGTACGTCTCAGCCTGAGTAGAGATACCATGCAAATCGCACATATTGTGGTCATGTGTATCTAGACCTACCAGGGAACAAAAACCACCGTCCAGTTATCCATCCTAGGCGATATACGCACCCTAACCATGGTCCTGAGACTCAAGCTCATACCATGGCACCATAACATAAATATATAAAGTCCGTTCAAGGTGTGTCATTCAAAAGGTTTATTGACCTGACACCAACTTATAAGTAGGACTTAACATTTTGCAGTTAATCCATCTTATTTCAAAATAGGTAGGACTTAGTGTTTGAACTAATCCATCCCCAATATGCCACCGTCCCATACCGGTGCATATACATACATATAAGTAGGACTTAACATTTTGCAGTTAATCCATCTTATTTCAAAATAGGTAGGACTTAGTGTTTGAACTAATCCATCCCCAATATGCCACCGTCCCATACCGGTGCATATACATACCTCCACATAATAAAATTGATTAAACAGTATTAAGCAATTCATCAATTATACTCCACACTAAGCATCAATATAAATTAATACATATATATCAGTATTAGGCATTAAATATAGGGCCTAAAAATAACATTCCAATAATGTAAACTGCTAAAATAATCTAAGCATTTACATTCTCCAACTTGTCCATAAATTGATGCATTTAAATAGCAAACATATATCAATTTTTAATCCAAACAAAGCATAGGTAATTTCAGGTAAGTCACTATACTTATAACTCCATCTAAATATGATTCACAACTTTAAATCATAAATAAAAACAATCTCCAATTTACAGTAATAAATTTCTTAACCATAACAGTGCACAACCTACAGGTTTTTCCCCAAGTTCACCCCACTCCATTCCTTAATCAAATTATGAATTGATGTTTCCCTATTGTTTTTATAGGTTTACAACATTCCTACACATGATTTAAAATAGTTTAAACCAAGAAGAAATACCCTGCACCGACCAAACAGACCCTAAAAATACATAACTGTGTGTTTCAGAGGAAGAGAAAGCTCAGAAAAATTTAGAGCCTTCTCCAAAATATGGGAGCCGGCTCTAAGGCCTTGGGAGCCAGCTCTTTCATTGTGGGAGGCGGCTCCCTCCTTTGGGAGCCGTCTCTCTCACCCCTAAGAGCCGTCTCCCCGTCTCTGCTTCGTTTTCCTCGACTCCGGCGTGTTCCACGACCTCTGTATTTGTTTTAATACTTGCTCTAAGGTTTAATTAGTGTCCTACAACAGTTATAAAGCATTGACATGCATCAAAGACATCAATTAAACAAAGCTTAAACTGAAACGAAGCATGCATCAATTAACCGAACTGAAAAAACTTGTAATACAGTTTAATTCCAACAAAGCTATTTCAGTTTACCCAGGCCTCTGTAAATCTTTTACTACGTGTTCTATTATTCAATCAATGTCCCAGACTAATTTTTAAGACATCAATATGCATCAAGGTTCTCAATTAAACATAATTTAAACACAACAACGGTATGAACCAGTTAACAGAGATTACAGAATTTCGCATATCAATTTAATTCAATGGAACTAAAAATATTTCAAAATGCAATAAAGACTTGTTTTAGCATCCATTAAAGCCCTGGAGTCTACCTAGGCATGCACAGAACATGAGTTAAAGGGAAAGAGCTAGAATAAGACTTGCCTCCGATTTCAATTCAGAAACCTTTAAACCTCCGTCTCTAGCAACTCCGGCGACCTTAGTTGTTTTTACTGACCTTTGTTGCTCCTAATTCAATCCACGAGCATGCATCAACACCTCCTCCTTGGTTCAGCCCTTGACTCTAAGCCAACCCTAACCTTTCTTTCTCTGTTCTCTCTCTGTTCTCACAACTCTCTGTAGGACTCTGTTACGTGAATAGGGTTAACCAAAACCCTTGGCAGACCTATACTTATATATTTATAGGTTTTAATTGAAACCATAATTTAAATCCTACACCAACCCTAAGTCGGCTACGTTCAAACATAAAACCCTAGAATCCATCCACTACCTAAGTCGGTTAGCGTTTTTAAATTTATACGTGCATGTACAAGAGAAATACAATTTAATAGTTAATGCAAGAAAATAACTTTAGACAATCAATTAAAGAAAAACAAATACACAATTAATTGAATTAAAATAAAATAAATCAAATAAGCAAATAAATGAAATTTAAACACCCAACTAACACATTTAAATCAAATAATTTAACAATTAATGCAAATACACACTTAATCAATTTTAAAGTGCAAAATAAACAGTTAATTAAAAACCAAACCTATCCTTTTGAATTTAGGGGTATTACATAATGATCAGCCACATACAAGATATTATCAAAGGTGTCTAGCAAACCCTACAAACAGAAAAGTTAAATTAAAATAAAACTAAAAATTTAAAGTAAAATAAAACTGAAAATTTAAAGTAAAGTAAAAATGACAAAAGTGACGTACTTACTTTCTGCCTATCTGACATGAAAGTAATGTCATAAGGAGAGCCAATAACATCCATCAACACCTCCATGAACCAATGCCATGATTCTTTTGTTTCAGCCTCCACAACTGCAAATGCAACAGGAAACATTTGGTCATTTCCATCACAGGCCACAGCTGATAGCAAATGCCCACCAAATGATCCTTTTAGAAAGCAACCATCAACCCCTAGAAATGATCTACACCCATGTTTAAATCCATTCATCATTGCAGCAAAAGAAATAAATATCCTTTGGAATGTTCTAACTGACTCATCACCATCAGTGGGTTCAGCATACAATTTCACAATGCTTCCAGGATTTGTTCTTAATATCAGTTCACCATAATCCCTTATCTTAGAATATTATTCAGCTTTATCTCCTACTATAACAGCCAATGCTCTACTTTTTGCCCTGCTCACTTTATATTTGGACACATCAATATCCAATTCAGCAGCAATAGTACTTCTAAGAGCCCCATTAGTGATGGTTGGGTTCAACCTAATTTGCTCCAAGTACCTATTTGCTAAATATCCTGTTGTGGCTTGGTTGCTTTGGTGAATCCACAAACAATTGTTATATTGATCCTGAAATGTCTTGATTATCATACATTCATCATCACTTGGTATGCTTGCATGGATCCTCCAACCACAGTCATACTTACACACTGCAGTTACTTTGTCACCATCATTTTTCTTGAATTTTATATCAAACTTCCTCTTTACAACATGGTCCCTTAAAGCATCTCTGAAATCTGCAGCTGATGCAAACCTTAACCCAAGTTGTAGTGGTTTTACACCTAAATCCCTTGAAGGAATAAAATCCAAGTACATAGGACTTTGGGTTTCCCCATCATCATCAGATGAGTTACAAATGCTTACCAACTCATTACTGAGAGCATATTCAGAGTTAACTTCAGCAAAATCAAAATATTGTTCATCATATTTTGCATCATCATTTGACTGATGATCATCATCACTGTTAGACTCATCATTGGACTGATTATCAACAGGTGAAACCTCACAGAACATGTCCATTTCTGAATGAATAGTCTTGTTCTTACCTAGGGTTACTGATGCAACAATGGAAAGGTGGATTTCATTCACCTCATAGAATGCTTCAAAGATAGAAAACATCTCCATTACATCTTTGTCAGACTTGATTGGTTGGAATCCATCACCACCATCATCATAAGGCATTTCATACAAAGCTTCTTGAATTTCCTTATATCCTAGACTTTTTGCCATTTCTCTGATCTCTATATAAGACATTAAGTCTGGATCCACATTGTCAAATTTAGATATTTTTGGTCCTATATATGCCTTATGGGGTTTTTTCATAAAAAAACCCCCATGGTGTAACACAATGGTGTATAGCTTATCCATCTACAACAACAATAATATTATGTCATAAACTTTAAGTCATAACTGATAAGTGCTTAAATGTTGCACATTTTAGCACCTAAGTTAGGGTATTTCAGTCGTTGTAGCTATCTTAATTTCATGTTTTAGTCCTAATTTATGTTTATGTGTATTTCAAGGCAATAAAGTTAAACTGAGCTAAGAACGGTCCATTAAAGCCTTTTTAGAGTCAAGCAAAGATATTCAGAAAAAGCTCAGAAAATGGCAAAAAGGAGGTCGCAGCCCATTGCTCGTATAGTGTGTTTATTCTTCAAAAGCGGTCAATCTCAGGCTTTTGATGATGTTCCCAAAGATGAAGAAGCAAACTAATGAGTTCGGGGCTAAAATGGAGCTAAATAGGGCTTAAAGGAAATTTTCAACTCTGGGGGGATCGATCCCCAGGGTGGGGGATCGATCCCCCAGGACTTAGCAACATTACAGTTTTTATTTAATTTTTGGGCTCATTTTGGGAACTGTTGGGCTTTAATGAGATTGTTACTTAAGGCCCAGTGAGCCATTAGATTAGGGTTAGTTTTAGTTTTTATTTAAGCAAAGATTATTAGAGAAAAAAAAAAAAAAGGTTTTATTTTTTTTCTGTATCGTAGTATCGTAATTTCTCTCTGGAAAAACACGCGAAGAAAGGGAAAAAGGAAGAACAGGCTAGGGTTTGGAAGAAAAGTTCAGAGAAGATGAAGCAGATGATGGGGATTGTCCTATCTTCGACTCCATCAACCATGAGTGGCTGATTCTTCTACTTAGGGTTGGATAAACCCTAAGCATGTAACCTATTCTCTCTCTCTTTTCATACTTTTTGGGGATTAATTTATGTAATTAGTTTATAGTCTGGAATATTATGAATTAAATTCTTCCAATTGATTATCTGTATTAATCTCATATTGTCTTATGTGTGGTTGATTGATAAACAAATTTTACACATGAATTCTTTGTTAATTGATTCTTGTGATGGCTATGCATGGTATTGCTTAGTTGTAATTGTGTTTCAAATTGATGAAAAATGCTTCCATTTGATGGATGGTACTACATGTTTAGGTTAAATTGTTGTCTAATTAGTTTTAAATTCATGTTTAATTAGTTTAATTTAAGTTTAATTAATTTAATTGCAATTCAATTATTAGGTAAGTAGACCATCCATACTTATGTTTGAATTCCATACTTTTTGTCACAATTGCATTATCTTCTAGATTAATGTGTGTTAAATTTGTAACTTGGATTGATAAATCATGCTTTGAATGGGTGAATTGCACTACACTTAGTTTAATTGTCATTAGGTAGTTGATTCATGCTTGAAATTGATGGTTTACACTTTTCATTGCACTTGTTAGCCACATATAGATTACATAGTATTATTTCCCCAATTAGTTGAAAGTGAGTGAGTTAGGGAATGTGCTTAGTGGTGAATCCTACACCCTAAGTCTCTTTCCAATCTCTTAAACTCTATTTCTTTATTGCAATCATTTAGTTTAAAATTAGTTTTAATCACAAACAAAACCCTTTTGGCAATCACATAAGCACTAAAGCAGAATTCAATTCTGGAAAACCTATAATTGTTTAGATCTCTTGGGACGATCCCTGCTCACTTCATACTCCATGGTATAAGTGTTTAGTGGTTTTATAAATTTTAAAATATGGTGCCCACTTGACATTATTTCTAAACCTAAAGTGTTGTGCATTATTTTGTGCACACGCTCGGTCGCACCATAGTTTTGGCGCCGTTGCCGGGGATCTAACTGTTTTTAAAGAATTGAATTAGACATTAGTTCTTTATTGATTATTTACTTTTAAGTCATTTTTATTTTTATTTTCTCATTTAATGTGCAATTAGGTATTTGATACAAGAAAGGTGAACATTGGAGCTTAAAGCAATCATTGGAATTTGGAGTTGCTTAAGGACCTTTGTAAGCAATTCTTACCCTAATTGTTCATTTTTCTATGCTTGCGAGATAGTCCTTGTTGAGGCTTTCATAATGCTTAAATATTTTATCTAAGCATAGGTCCTTGTCGAGGCCATTACTTTCATTGTCATATGTATGAGCCATTGTCGAGGCAATTATTTTATGGTTTTTGGATTGTGAATATGAATGGAGCCGTTATTTGATCCAAGTTTGAAGGAAAATTTTACCCTTTATCCTTATGCATCTCCATCATATCATGATCCTTATGAGAGTGAGTCCAATGCATTTCATGAATCATCATCATATAATGGACTTGATCACTCCTATGACTACTACCCTCCCCCACCATTTTATGAAGAACCATCTCCATTACCTTACTTTCCCGGATTTGAAAATAAAATGTTAGCTCTAATTGATGAACTTAATGAAAGGAGACAACTTATTAATTCTCATTCTCATAGGCTAGCCATGTTAGAAACTCAAGTTGAGGAAATTGCAAGTACTCTTTCTTGTCAAGAGGAAGAGGAAGAAGAGGCAAGTCAATTAATGACTAATCAAAGTGAGCAAAACATGATAATAGAAAAGCGTGAGGCAAGTACGCTAGTGACTAATCCAATAGAGCATAAATTGAATTATGAGGACATTCCTTGTAATCTTGAGCATGAGGAAATTGATAACTTAGAGAGTAAGGAGTTGTTGACCACTATAGAGGTAGGAGAGGAAAATGAGGAACTTGTAAAAAAGAACCTTCCTTTTATTATCCCCAACGATCCTCTTGAGGCATGCCTTTTGAAAATGTATGAAGGATGTGGTTTTAACATCGAAAGCTCCACATATGAAGTGAACTCTCTAATGAACTCCATAGCTAACTTGGAAAGTGAAGAGATGGTGATCAGTGAGGAAGAGAAAAGGGATGAAAAGAGTGCATTTCCTAATAATTCAATTGAGTCCTTGAAAGACGTTGCTTTGCCAAGTGCAAGACTGTCCATTATTGATTTCATTTTCAAGACCATTGATGAAAGGAAAAAAATTGCATCTTACATCATTTCTTTTCAAGTCATTCTTTTGGGAGATGAATTTGTTGTTATGAGAAAGGATCCACTTGGGAAAATAGACAAACGGATTAACGAGGATGTCTCATATCCGGTTTTTGATTCTTTCGACTAGTGAGTCGCCCCAACGTTTTTCTAGTGACATTAAACACTAGTTTTTTGTAGAGTTTCCCGACTTTACTTCTCCCTCATTTCTTTTTATTTTATTTCTTACATCTTCGTCTAAATAAAATTTTATTTTATTTTCTTCTTTTACTTTATTTTATTTTTTGTACAATTCTGCTTTCAGAAATTCAAAAAAAAAAAAAATTGTAAATGAGTAATGTAGGTTGGTGTTTGATTTTATTTCTATTTTATTATTATTTTTATTATTTTTGTATGTATTTCATGTTAGTTTTGATTTATTCAAAAATATAAAAAAAAAAAAAAAAAAAAAAATCAAAAGTCCCAATCCGCTAGAGACGTTAATCTTAGCCCATTTTATTTTTTATTTCTTTTGTAGGTTGTGTACACATAATCTTTTTCTTTGATTTAAAAAAAAAATAAAAAAAAAATAAAAAAAAAATAAAAATTTCAAACATCAAAAATATGTTACTAATATGCCCTTATGCTTGGTTATACATGTTTCATCTTTTATCTAGGGTTTCATCTCATATCTCTTTGCAGCATGTTATATATTGTTTTGGACTGTAAGTATTGCTTATCCCATATGCTATTTGATGTGAGTTTGCTAGTATGGTTATACAACTAGGTTTTTGCATCCAAGTTTGGGGGAGACATCTTTCCTACTGGATCACTGCTGGACTTCATAATCGTTGCCATCACGGTATACTCTTTTCATCATTTTACATTGTTCCCATTGCAT